TCTTGTTTAGGACCCTCTGTGCTTCCTGGACTTGTAAGTGTATTTCTTCCCCCAGGTAGGGAAAGTTTGCCGTCATTATTTTTTCAAATAGGTTTTCAATTTCTTGCTCTCTTTCCTCTCCTTCTGGCACCCCAATAATACAAATGTTGGGCTTTTTGAAGTTGACCCAGAGACTCCTTATACTATCTTCATATTTCTAGATATGTTTTTCTTTTTGCTCTTCTGGGTGGGTGTTTTCTGTTTCCTCATGTTCCAAATAGCTGATTGGATTCTCATCGTCCTTTACTCTACTGTTGATTCCCTGTAGATTATTCTTCATTTCAGTTCCTGTAGCCTTCTTTTCAAATTGGTACTTTATCATGTCATTGATTTTCTCAGTTGTTTTCGTAATAATATGCTTGATCATCCTTATAAAGAAAATTCTGAACTCTGTGCCTGTTAGCTTGCTTGGTTCTATTTCATTTAGTTCCTCTTCTAGAGGTTTCTTCTGTTCTTTCCTTTGTGACATGTTTCGTTGCCTCCACATTTTGGCTACTTCTGGGTGTTTGTTTCTATGTATTAGGTAGAGCTGCTGTCTCCTGGAATTGGTAGAGTGGCTTTGTGTAGTAGGTGTCCTGTAGGGCCCAGGGGCTCAGCCTACCCAGTTACCTGAGCTGGGTCTTCTAGGTGCTGCCCTGTGTGGGCTGTGTGCTCTGTCCTGTTGTAGCTGAGCCTTGGTTCCTGTTGGCATCACTGGGAGGAACTGACCCCCAGGCCAATCGGCTGTGAGGACCAGCTGCAACTGCAGCCAAAGAGCTGCTGTGCTAGAGACACTCCTAGGGAGCAGGATTACTTCAGTGGGGCTTTGGTGTTCACCAAGTGCGTCCCTTGAGTGTGTCACTCATGAATGTGGTAGTGTTGTAATCCAGTGTGGTTGAGTCTGACCACTGGGTGCACTGTCTTTGAGGCCTACTGGGAGGTGCAAAGTCAGCCTCTGCCAGTGCCTTGCCCAGGGCCACCCAGCATGAGCTACACAGCAGTCCCTAGATGGCTGGTGCTTGTGCTGGGCTTAGAGGTGTCCAGCTGAGGCCAAGCTGTGAACCAATGCAGGCTGCCGCTAGTTCCACGCCTGGGGCCACTTACCAAAGATGTATGGAACACGCTGCTGCTTGTTTTAGAGATTTTAGGAAAGTCTTAAGCATGATATTCGAGAGGCCACTTGCATAGAAAAGCCACTGTAAATGGCCTGGATGAACCTGCAGGTAGGGAAGGGCTGGGCATCCGGCAATCACTGGGTGGGGAGAAAGGTGTGAGTCAGGTGCTGGTGATTCAAATGTGGCGCCAGCCTGATGGCTGTGCTGGGAGGGCTTGGCAAAGGAGCCATGGTCTCTGCAGCTCTTTTGCCTGGAAGAAAGCTGCCCCTCCACCTCTTGCCTCAACTTCAGGCAGGTTAGTTCCTCCCCAAGTGTCCCAGGTTCCTTTCAGGCTCCTGCCTGGCGCTGGGCTCAGAGGAAGAGGGTCTGAGTGAGTCCATGCATGGCCCCTTTAAGAGGAACTGTGGGGCTCTTGCAGCCTCTGCGATCCTCAGGGACAGTCCCCGCTGGTTTCACAGCCCGGAGTTGTGGGGACGTCTCTTCCAGGCCCGGAGCCCTGGGCTGGAGGCCTGCTGTGGGGCTGGGACCCCGCACTCCTCCGGGAACCTCTGCCACCAAGATGTCCCTCCTGGGTTTAAACCACTGCACCCAGTGTGGGCTTGCAGCCGTCTCTGCTATTCGGTCCCCATCCCCCCTTCATCCCAGGTGCCCCTCCTCCCAGTATTAATGCTTCTTCGGTCCCCTGGTTGTAGGGCTTCTGTTCAGCTAGATTTCAGGAGGTTCTGAGTGATGATTGTTCTGTATTTTAGTTGTGATTTTGATGTAATTGTGGGAGGTGGCGGGTACCTCGGTTACTTACTCCGCCACCTTGCTTCCTCTCCTCATTATTTTTAAATCTTTGTTTCTTTGCTTCTGTGATTTTATGTTTTTTTCTATCTTTTCATTCGAATTCCTGATTCAATCCTCTGCTGCATCCAACCTACTTTTATTCCTTCGAGTGTTTTTGTTTTTATAAATCCTTACATGAAGTTATTTTATCCATTGCTTTTCAGAGGCCGTGGAAGAGAGAGAGAGGGAGAGAGAGAGGGAAACATCCATGTGAAAGAGACACAGCAATTGGTTGCCTCCCACAGACACCCTGACCTGGATCGAGACTGCAGCTCAGGTAGAAGCCCTTGACGGGGGGTCCACCTGAGACCCTTCATTCCATGGGCAGAGGGAAGCCCTACAGCATTTCACAGCTGGGTGCTATGTGGGTGCCTAGTCTCAGCTCTGGTGCACTGGGCTGTGGCATATTTTTGGGTCATGGTTCCAGACCTCTCAGGGGGAACCTCTGTCCTAATATATCGTTGGTCACCGCAGCCTGTCGCCCATGGGAGCAGGGCCAGCCCCTTTCGCCTGTCAGGACTTCCTTCCAGTCCTGAGATGGCTCCTGCTCCCAGACCTTGGTTAAAAGTCTCCTCTTCAGAGAGTCTGTAGTTGATAATTCAGGGTGATTGATCCGCATTCTGTGGTCATTTCCACTTGGTTCCGGGAGCAGTTGAGAGTAAGATCCACCTACCCCTCCATCACCTTGACCCCGCCCTCCGCATTTTAGTTCCTAAAAAAGGAAATGCCCCTGTGGTTCCTGAGACAACATCGCTGCTAATAGAGTAAAGCTGTTACTGCAGACCCGTCGGAGGTAGGCTCAGAGCCACGGGTCTGGAGGCTCTGGAGAGACTGTTGTGCGGACAAGAATCCCTGAGCCCTGGGAGGAAACAGCTAGGAACTCCACCTGCAGCTGCTCCTGAAGCTGAGACAGAGTCTGAGGCCATGAGCACCCCCTGGTGTCCTGGGGGCCCCCTGCAGCCCAGCCTCCTGTCTCCTGCAGGGAGGTTTGTGTCTGGCTCACACTGACCTCCACTCACTGTGTCTCGCACAGAAATACACGGCCGAGTCCTCAGATTTCAGGCTATTCATTTGCAGATACAGCGTGTTCTTGGCGTTGTCTCTGGAGATGGTGAATCGGCCTTTCACAGAGTCTGCATAGTATGTGCTTCCACCAGTATTACTAATTTTCAGTTGGTCAATGGAGTGATTAGTGGGAAAATGGATAACATTTTAATCAAGAATAATTTTTAAATATTTTCTAAAATGGGTCTTATTTTGGGTGTTTTTAGAAAGATATTCTTAGAAAATACTGAGCCCCACTGTCCATGTTGATTTTCTGCAGCAGCCACAGGGACTGGATCAGGTTCTGGCACCAGAGTGGAGGCTGCTGGGAAACTGCCCATAGATCTGGACGTGACTTTGGAGCTGGGTGAGGGGAGGATGCTGGACTTCTTTTGATCACACGACAGAAATATGCCTGATTCTCATGGACAGAGTGTTACTGGACATATGGGTTTAGAGCCTCTTCTAGTGAAGACCCAGAAGGAAGCCCAAGGCAGGATCGAGACAGCTTATATCATCCCAGGAAATCCCTGAGTAATTGTGAACAGGAGCTACTTAGAAATAGAGACATTACTGATTCTGCAGGCAGGGATCCAGAGACATAAGGAACCTGTCATTGCAAACTGGTGGGAAGGGGATCCCTTGTTACCTACAGGCACATCCCCACGGTGTCTCTGTCTACCAGGTGACAAGTTCAGAGGTCCAGGGGATTAGCACTTGGCCACACTGAGGTCATTACCCACATTGTGTCCCCATGGGTCACTCAGCTGCATAATTCATTGGGGTCCCATTTATGAATCTCTGAACCCTTAGAGGGAAGAAGTTACAGCCCTCCCTGGAGGAGCCCTGGTGATGGTGTGTCTGCAAGCGGGGCCTTCATTTCATTGACCAGGCACCTGCCTCAGCCCATCACCATTATCACCATCATCACCATCATCATCATCAGCATCATCACCATCATCATCATTTGCTTATTTATTATCATGTTTCTCATTTTCTGTAGACCGTCTTTTGTACACATGTGAGCCATTATCTGTATTTCTGCTCATTTTTTGTAACTATTTAGAGAAATTTGTAGCCAGACTCTATTTTCCTTCTCGTGTACTGCTGACAAATGATGGCTCATTCCTGCATCTTCTCCGTCTGCTAGACACGGGAATCTGTTCAGAAAGGTGTGTTCTTCTATGTGGATGTCCTGGGGAGATTGAAACCACACCAGACCCTTGGACTAGATTTTCTTGCTCCCCACCACCTCGCCAAGATCAAAGCCCTGAGCCAGTCTCCTCTCCTGGCTCCATGAGAGCCCCACTGACTTGCTGAAGGGCCTTTCCTGTGCTTCCCAGAGGTTTCAACTCTGTACGTGATAAATATCCCAATCCCTTGGTTGTGTGTTTTTCCTAAACCTGGACATTTGCACCATGTCATCCTGGGTCCCTCTCCCTCCGCCTGGTGTCACCTAGTCTTGGTGCTGTGACCATGATGACAGGTCAATGAGTGCCACCACCTGGGTCTTTCTTCTCTAGCTTTCTGTTCACACCCCTCAGGTGCCCGCTGTCCTGAACCCACGTGTTCTGCTGCTGGATAGTTGGGACCCTGATCTGTGTGGGACTGAGCTGCTCTGTGGAGTCAGCAGAGCCTCCTGTTAGGTTTAGGTGATGGTGGTCAGAAGATTTCACGATTAATTTCATTTGGGGAAAACAGTGAGTGCAAAAGACATCTGCCTATTGTCCACGTGAGAAAGTTGTCTCTGTTTACAACAGACCTTTCTAAATGACAGACCTCAGAGGAAAGTGCAGAATTAGGAATCCACAGAGTTTACTGAGGGAAACTGTGACCAGAAGAGGAAACCACCCAGGAAACAGTCCAAACCGCCCACTGCACCTGCTCCTGGGAGGGTCCTTGTGTTCAGGGCCCATGAGCACCCTGGTGGCCGCAGTCTCTTCTGCAGCAGGTTTGTGTCTGGGCTCCCAGTGACCTCCTCTCATTGTGTCTGCTGCACAGAAATACACGGCCGAGTCCTCAGATTTCAGGCTGTTCATTTGCAGATACAGCGTGTTCTTGGAATTGTCTCTGGAGATGGTGAATCGGCCCTTCACAGAGTCTGCATAGTACTTCTGACTTCCATCGTACCATATTACTGCCACCCACTCCAGCCCCTTCCCTGGAGCCTGGCGGACCCAGTTCATTCCAAAGCTACTGAAAGTGAATCCAGAGGCTGCACAGGAGAGTCTGAGAGACCCCCCAGGCTTCACCAAGGATTCCCCAGACTCTACGAGCTGCACCTCACCCTGGACACCTGCAAACACAAAGACGTCCTGGTCAGGGACCTCTCACACGTCCACTCTTTCTCTCACTCATGTCCACTTCCACTCTCAGTGTCTCTTGTTCTCCATAAATTACCTCTTAAAATAGCAACAAGGAAAACCCAGCTGATCCCAAGCCCCATGGTGAGTGGTCTGTGTCAGTCCTGATCAGGGAATGAGAACAGCTGTGGATCCCGGGGTAGGGCTCCTGTCCCAGAGCTGCAGGGTCGGGGCTGGGCTTGTTTTTATGAAGAGAGGGGGCCCTATTTGCATGTCCTCCTGCTATATAGAGATCTCAGGGGTGAACCTACAGATGCCAGTAACTCAGTGCAGGTGAGAGGTTCCTAGGGCATTTGGTTGCCATGGTAGCTTTTCACCCACTAAATACAAAATTATAGGAGGGTTGGGGTCTGTTGATGAGACCACATCTGGTAACAGTGACCCAGCGTCAAGGCTCTGATTCTCCCACTGGCTCCCTTTTTCCCCTGAACCAACCTCAGGACAGAGGAAGACCTACCCAGAGAGGCTGCAGAACCCCTTGTATGTAATGAGAGCCTCAATGAGCCCCTGTATTCCAGTGTTACCCACACTTCAGGTTTGTATCCATCTGTGGCCTCAGAGTCCTCACTGCCATGGAGAAGGTTGTGTATCACCTGTGAGGTGGTCGAGGTCAGCTAAGGTGAGTCAGGTTCACTGAGGTCTGGGAAGTACAACTGAAGTGTCTGTTGGGCCCAAAAGACTATCAAGTGACTCAAGAAATCTGAGGGATGCGGGGAA